GCTAAAAGAACAGTTATCTCTCAAATGTGATTATGGGGAGTTACACGGGGATATATGTGAAAGTATAAGAAATTGTAAAATCCTGTATCAAAGGAATGTAGCTTTGTGTTGTTAACAATCACTATTAGGGAAAAGAACAAGTTCCTGTTCTCTAGGAACTCATCACTCGGGGGTAAGACAGGCATAAGTGATCGCGTGAGAGTATGTGACAGATCCTGTGGCAGATATATGTACGTATGATCCGGAGCACAGAGGAGAGCAACTATAATCTGGGATTGAGAGAGAGGGAAAACTTGGTGGATGAGGTACTTCCTGACCTGAGAAAGGCTAAGGAAAAATATGCCCGGCAAAGAGGGAAGAAGGGAAGGCCATCCCAGGTTGAAGGAGTGGCATGGGGGATGTGGTACATTCACAAGGCTGCAGAAATGGCTGCAAGCGTTTCCGGGACATAAACTGTCCACCTGTAGTGCGTAATTTGATTATTGGGAGCACTTACCTAACTCTAAAAAGGCAGTGTTACTGCCCAGTGGTTTATAGCTCCAGAAACAAACTTGGTCTGAAAGCTAGTTTGATCATTTACTAATCTGCTGGGTCTAATTAAGAACTTCACCTTCATAGACTTTTAAGTTCAGTGTGGTGATCAAAGGGTTGTTGCAATGAGTCTTTGAAATAATGTTTGCAAATCTCCTGATATTTAATACTCACGTAAAAAATATTAGCAGCAGTTTTTGTTGCTGTCCTGAAAATTCTTAGAGGTACTTTTTCCCCTGTCAATATTTTATAATCTATTTTCTAGGCCAGCAGTTTAGCAATATTTTAAACACCAACTTTTGTTTGTTATAATGGAATCAGAATTTGAATGAATTTTTAAAAATGCGTTTTAACATTTATTTTTGGGAGAAGATAGACACAGAGCATGAGCCAGGGAAGGGCAGAGAGAAGGAGACACAGAATCCGAAGCAGGCTCCAGGCTCCGAGCTGTCAGCACAGAGCCTGATGCGGGGCTTGAACCATGAGATCATGACCTGAGCCAAAGTCTGACCCTTAACTGACTAAGCCACCCAGATGCCCCAAATTTGAATGAATTTTAAAAGATGCTTTAGCCTGATATCATTCTATGTGTTAAGAAACATTTAATAACCTGGCTGTAGTAAGTAAATCAGAGATAACAGCTGGGACCATAATCTGCTCTCTTCCTATTCCATAGGTCTTTCTACTGGCTTTGGGATAAATGTCAAAAATCACTCAGTGACACAGTTTCTAGCAGAAACCACAAAAGGTAACAGCACAGAAATCAGCATTTCTGGAGATTTGCAGATACAGAAATTTAGTTTTTAAAGAAATACAGTCTCCTTCTCTGGCTGCCCTCTGGTGGAAGCGCTGTTTAGCAACAGCACATGTGAAAGAGCATTGAGAGGCAGGTACAAGGAATCAGATAATTCTTAAATGTGTAATTCTTTTGCCGTCAGGAATTTCTTATATAGACAATTTCCCATTTCTTTTTATTTGGGTCTCTTCACCAAAATGTGAAAATAGATTTCATAGTACCTGTCAATTAAGCATGTTCTATTTCATTTATTCAAGAGGATCCAACAGATAGTTGAGCATCTTTTGTGTACCAAATGCTAGGAATAAAATGATGAGCAAGAAATGTGTGCTTTAGTGAAATAAACAGATGTTGAAATAATAATCATACAAATAAATAATTACTTAATGCTATGCCTAAAAAGTACTGAGTGATTTATGACCAATAGCAGTGTTTAAAAAGGCTTCCTTGAGGAATTAAAGTTTTAACTGAGATTGGAAGTCTTGGTAAAGTAACTAGACAGAGATGAGTCAGCAATGGAGAAGAGTCTCTCTATTGAGGAAACAGCAGGTGCAAAGGCCCAGAGGAACGACACAGTATGACCTCTCCTAAGAACTGAATGACAACTAGTATATTTGCAGCAGAAAAAGGTAATATAGAATACAAATCCTGGTCATGAGAAGTGAAGGTATTTACTAGGCATCACCAAAGAAACCAAAAAGCACAAGAAGAAGTGAGCCTCTTCCCAGTATAAACTGTGTGCTCTTCGTTAGAATTTTGTTGTTTTAAAGATTCATTGTAAAGGAAATTACTTTAGAACCACTATAATATTCTCTTTACAGAGTAGAGTAATATTAGGATTTGAGCACTTTAAATATCTATTCTTTTTTCATTAGGTTTTTCTTCTTTTCTCTACTGGCTCGTTGGAAATTGAAGGAATATTTTTGATATGCTGGAGTGTTGAGATCAGGGACTTCTGTTGATCAGTTGAACAGCCATAGAATAATGACAGAGAGAATCTTCTCCTGTTTTCTTGGCTGAGATTTTTGTGTGGGTGTGCGAGGTGCAGCTGCATGTTGGTTTCTTGGCAATCAAGACAAGCAGTTCTCAGTGCAGTTCGTGTGTGTTGAATGGGAAGCAACTTAAGAGAAAAAGCGCTACTTTGAATATACTAAATTCATTGGAAAGCACCGAGGGCCTGAACCTTTAGCTGGCATTCTAAGTTATCTGTCTAAATGGATACAGCACCCCCAGGAACATGTCCAAGCTTCTGGCAGGAACACATGAAGGAGGAAATTTTTTTAAATAGTCAAAAGTTTTATCTCAGTATAAAATTATCAATTACCATATGTAATTTTTAAATGAATTTTTGCTGGCTACTTTCTTGTTTGTGACTTACTGCAACTCTTTCTCTAAAGAACACTTAGTAAGAAGCAGATTGTGAAAATTTAGCTTTGCCTGCAGAAGTGAACTCCTAATTTTCTGTAGTTTATCAGGAAGATATTTCTCAGATTTATGCATATACAGATGGATTCCCAGATCTGCGTTTTAAAAAAAATTTTTTTTAATGTTTATTTTTGAGAGACAGAATGAGCATGAGCAGGGGAGGGGCAGAGAGAGAGAGAAGGAGACACAGAATTCAAAGCAGTCTCCAGGCTCTGAACTGTTGACACAGAGCCTGATGCGGGGCTCGAACCCACAAGCTTTGAGATCATGACCCAAGTCGAAGTCGGGTGCTTAACTGGCTGAGCCACCCAGGCACCCCTCCTAGATCTGTTTTTATTGCTCACTCATGTTCTTCACTCTCCTTTGACCTTTTTGTGGCCCGTAAGCACTTTTTGTTCCCAAACCCTCAAATTAAATGCAGACAGTATGGAGCTCTTAATTTTTTAAGAATACTTGCATCCTTCCCTTTGGATACTCTCATCATTGGCCTTCATTATTTTCAAGCAGAAATGTCTGAACTGCTTCCAGTCTTTAACAGCTCCTTTACATCTCTACCGCTATTTAATACTATTGTTCAGGATAGCAGAGTCAGGTCCTGCAGTCACTTGGCCTGGGTTCATATCCAGTCCTGCTACTATCTTGATCCCATTAACCTTTTAGTTTCTCATCTCCAAAAATGAAAATAATTATGTTAGTGTTTCATAAGTTTTGTATGTTTTTACATAAGGCTTAAAGGAAAAAATGTGGATATAATGAGCTTAATTCAAAGTAAGTGTCCAGCAGAAAAGATGTTAGCTATCATTTTCTTCACGATTTAGGGCCAGTCTCCCGTAGTCCATTAGTAGCTGTGTTCACTCTCCTGGGTGATCTCATTCGGTCTAAAGACCATCCAAATGCTGAAGACTCTCAATTTTTATATCTCTGTTTCTAACCTCACTCTTCCCTGCTCCAGACTTGTATATCTGACTGCTACTATATGTCTGCATTTAGGTATCTAAAACACACTTCAAATATAACATGTCTAAAAACAGAACTTTTGATCTCTGTCACCTGCCCTGCTTGCCTCCCCAGTCTGTTCCGCCCATTCTTTCCTATCAGTTAATGGTACTGTCCTCTCTACTTTTTTTTTTTTTTTTTTAACGTTCCTGTAGCTGCCAGTGCCCATCTATTTCACGAGCACATCTAACAGCATTATCCCCACAATATAGCCTAAATCTGACCACTTGTTGCCACATATCTTGTACTGACACCATAGTCCGAGGCTATACAACTTCTCGTTTGGACCGCTCCATAAAGGAATGTTCTCCTTACTGCTCTGGGTTTTCAGTCTTCTCTCATACAATCTACAATCCATTATCCACATTAAAGAGTAAACATAGATTTTAAAAACATTGATTATTTACCCCCCCCTTCTTACTGAAATTAGAAAAATATCCAGAATTTTTTAAAGTCTTCTCTGACCTGGCCCCTCTGCTTTGTTTCTTTCTCTCAAACACAGCTAGTTCATTCCTTTCATAAGGCCTTTATACTGCTAGCTTTTCCATCTGTTTGAGATATTTTCCTCCCAGATGATCACAGTATTTGTTGGCTCCTTGCAAAGTTTTAGGTCTTATTTCAGACAATAGCTCCTCAGAGACTGATCCTGACATCTTTCCTTTCTTTCTTAATAGCTGATCACTGCCTGAAATTTCCCTCACTTTTCTTCCTCCTCTTGTAAGTAGGACCCTCCCCTCTCCCATGAGGACAAGGACTTTCTGCATTTGCTCACTACCATATTCCATTCCATTAGAATGGAACCAGATACTCACAAGGTTTACAGTATTCTATGGATGGATGACTAAATGAAAGAATGAATGAATAGATACATGTCTTGTAAGTTTTTCTACAACCAAGGAAATGATGCATTATTTCATCCTGTATGAATTTTGCATAGATGCTTATTTTAAAATAAACCACGCTAATATTTTATTCTTTTTCTTTCATGTTTTCTCTGTCATAGATTATCAATTCTTAAGTATAGGAGGTATGTCTCTGCTGTTTTCAGCTTCTCATAGAATGCCAGATATCATTTAAGTACTTATTGTTGATTGAATTGAATTGAAAATTCAACCTAACATTCTCCGAAGTTACAGTAATTTTATATACATGTGTATGTATGTATATATATAAATTATATATATAAATTATGTAAATTTTGAAAGCAGATATTATCTGTTTAAAATATGCCTTCCTCTTTTATCTCTTGTAGTTCATAATTGGACCCTTGAGGACACGCTTCAGTGGTTGATAGAATTTGTTGAACTACCCCAATATGAGAAGAATTTTAGAGACAATAATGTCAAAGGAACAACGCTTCCCAGGTGAGTCTTTATTATCCAAATGTATTTTTTTTCCACTCAAGGAGAATTATATACTCGATTTTACATTTCTGTGCCAAATTTATAAGTTACCTCTGTGATTAAGGGCTCAAAGGAAAGATTTTATCCATTCTTTAATTTTTTAAGGTGTGAATTTGTAAGTTTTAATCCTTTTCCTTTGTGTAAATAATCAAGCTCTTATTAAAATTTATTCCCAAAGAAAATAATTTTGGGAATTAAAGGTAGGCCAACTACATCTTTTTTAGATAACATCAAAAGCCCAACCTCTGACCATGTGGTAAATATAACAAAAGCATATTCATTTGATATGAATCCACCTTTATGAAAAACCTATTTGAATGGGTTAATGTACGGATCATTCTTAATTGTATTCTTTTAATAATAGCAATAACCACTTAATATTAGTGGCCACAAGTTAAACATCAAAAAAAGCTTAATAAATGTAAATAACAGCCATTTTTTAAGTTTATTTATTTTGAGAGAGAGCACGCATGCCTCTGCTTCTGAGGAAGAGGAAGAGGAGGAGAGAGAGAGAGAGAGAATGAGAGAATCCCAAGCAAGCTCCAGTGCTCTCAGCATGGAGCCCAGTGTGGAGCTTGAACTCCCAAACCGTGAGATCATGATCTGAGCCGAAATCAAGAGTTGGAGGCTTAAATGACTGAGCCACCCATGTGCCCCAAGTAGCAACCATTTTAAAATGTACATAACATTAAGGTACTCTGTATTATCTCATTTAAACTTCATGGTTAAAATTAAGTATGTATTGTTATCCTCATTTTGCAGATGAAAAAAAAAATCAGAGGAAGTCAAATACTTTGCCAGTTCAGCATTTGAACCTAGATAGATCTGATACCAAAGTCTAGGATGCCAGTTTATCCCTTACATGTTTGGAATTTTTTGTTACTCATTTTCTAAATTTTATTTTCCTAAATCTCCATTAGTTAACTTAAAAATCTTTAAAGATTCAAATGTCAAAATTTCCAATGATTCTGCCAGACCTTGCTTCCATTCCTCTATCAAATGTTTTTTTCTATCAAAAAGACTCTAATCCCTTATTATTCTCTCATTATTATATGTGACAAAATACACATATTGTATTTCTAATCAATTTGCTTACATGCTCTGTTTAAATCAGTGGCTGTTATTTCTTGGACTTTGGATTGAGTTGAAAATTTTCATATCTCCGATAAATATATTCTGAACATAGACATCAGCATTTTACGGATTTTACTGTGCATATGGCTGTATTGAGGAAATAATGGGAATAAGAGTTTAACAAGTCTGTATTGAGTATCTGATCTTTTCATGGTGTGACTAGATGGTAGAAAGAAGACAAAAATAAGATAGGGTTTTTGCTTTAATAAGTTTTTAAGCTATAACAGGATAGTGGAGTATTAAAGTGAGATTAGAGTTGTTTTTTTCTTTGAGTTGTATTTTTTCTTCTTGAGGTGTATGTTACCCTAGTTATGAAAAAACTCAGTATTTTTCATATGTTGTCTTTTGGGAAGTTTCTTTGTATGACAACAGCATGAAATGAAATGGGTTGCTCAGTGTGTTGGCAATAAATGTTACAGCCACTCGTTCGTTCGTTCTTTCGTTCTTTCTTTCTTTCTTTCTTTCTTTCTTTCTTTCTTTCTTTCTTTTTCTTTTTCTTTCTTTTCTTTCTTTTCTTTCTTTTCTTTCGTTAAGTAAAGGTTACCAGAGATAGCTCAGATCTTAGGAGAATTGTTGAAATAACATTACACTTAAGATCAGTTTTTTAAAATAGTGGATATGTTTCTAGAAAAAGACAAATTATAAATATAGAAGAAGTTCAGCTTTTAGGTAAGCTCATTGGCACTTTTTTGAGTGAAGGAGAAAGGAACACTGGAATATCCTTCATCAAGCCCCTTTTATAGGGGTAATGGCAAAGAGGAGTTGCTTAAAGGGACTTAAGTATCAACTTAAACAACAGTGTGAGTTACAGAATTTTTTGTAGGGTAATTATAGATCCAAGATCCAAGAACTACTTAGAAGAATGTATAAGAAAATGTATTACACATTCCAGATGTACAGTGCCCACAGCAGTTCGTTATGTTTCCTTTCTGGGACATTAAAATATTGTCACATCTGCAGTAGGTAGCCTAAATTGTTTTATGTTATCATGGTTATCATAAGCCTTTACTGATTTTCTATACTCTGAAATTCTTATTACCAGAGCTTAAACTAAGGCTCTCTTAGCCTGACACATGCCTCCTCATTCCTTTCAGACCTGTGTGAACTTCCCTGACATCCTCACCCACTCAGGTAGAATCACTTCCACCTCCTGGGCTCATACTTAACTTTGTATAAAACTGTTATATGGTATCCTTTTTACTACATCTCATTGTTTTTCTTCAATTTAGTCTATCAATATTGTCGCTATTAATTCATGCATCCATCCATGCATTCATTCATGTATTATACAAACATTTATCAAGCATCTACTTTTGCCAAGCTTAATGCTAGGTTTGGGGACACCAAGATAAGATATAGCTTTGCCTTCAAGCAATTTGGTAAGTGTCACGTTAAAGGTGTAACAGGAGCCATAAACAAAAGGTACCTGCAGAGAAGATGGGAAGGCATTTTGTAAAGGGAAAGGATTCTTTACTCCGTAAAGATTTATGGCAGCCTGTAGCAGTTATATCAGTTTTTGTAACTTCTCCATACTTACAGGTTCTGGTATCTTTCAGAAAAAATGCAGTGGGTTCAGAGTACTGTCATTGGAATCATACATATTTGGGTTTGCATCCTTACCCCACTCAATTGGGGTAAATTACTCAATCTTTCCCTACCTTAGTTTTTTCATCTATAAAATGGGAATTTTATCTATATATATTAGAGGTTTTCTTGAATTTTGATTTAGTCGTTAACACAGGACCGGCATATAGTACATGCTTGTTTTTATTGTCATTGTTATTTACAATTATATGATTATTATTAGACTTTGTGTTATAAGATCTTCATTGGTGTCATACTTGGTTGTTAAGAAATCTTAGTTGATGACGGGGCTACTTGGATTTGAAGTCCAAAACAAAGTGATTTTATTTCCTTCTTTCACCTGTGCCTTTTGGCGCCCTACATGGTTTTTTCATCGCTAATGACATGGTTCAGTATTTCCTATTACATAAATCTCTCAGTGTTTTCCCCCAACCATGATGACATCTTATTTTCACTGACGTCAGTGGCCTCTGTTTAATTTATATTAGAATGTAACGGTGCAGGTTTTCTTCAGATATAAAGAAAAGTGATATGATCTAAATTGAAAAATATATTTTATAGCTTGCTATTGATGTTAAGTCAATTACTTACAGTTTTCTTGCTTTTTTGTGAAATGATAAAATGCAGAGGTAATTAATGGTTATAAAATACTTTTGTATTTGTTAAATTTCTACATTTCAGTAAATTATAGCATAAAATTATCCTTAGAAAACAAAAACGTGAACATAACAAATAAAGAGTTAACATACATGGTGTTTGTACAGCTAAGTTTGCACCAAAAGTTTTTTGATACATGTTAATAAAGTATTAAATCACAGGGATGCACTCTGACAACAGGTCATCACAAATATGTAAAGTATTACATGTATTGCTCAAATATTTAAATTTACATACTAGAAATATTTTCAATTAATGTATATATATTTTTTGAACGAACAGGATAGCAGTGCATGAACCTTCATTTATGAGCTCCCAGTTGAAAATCAGCGATCGGAGTCACAGACAAAAACTTCAGCTCAAGGCACTGGATGTGGTTTTGTTTGGACCTCTAACACGTTAGTATTCTCTCTCACAGAGTGTGATGCAAAAGAACAATCAGATCACATATTTGTTGTTTATTTATTTTTTTTAATTTATTTTTGAGAGAGAGAGAGAGGGAGAATGAGTGGGGTAGGTTGCAGAGAGAGAGACAGAGGCTCGAAAGCAGGCTCTGCGCTGATAGCAGAGTCTTACACGGGGTTTGAACACGCTAACCGTGAGACCATGACGTGAGCCAAAGTCAGACACTTAACCAACTGAGCCACCCAGGCACCCCTGTTATTGAAGAAGAAAAAGTGAGAAAGCTAAAACACTAAGAAAAATCATCTGTTAGGTATAAAGGAAATGTAATATTAGCTTAAAAGATTTATAGGATGAGGTTTTCTATCACTGAAATGTGCAGTGTTAAATTGCCAAGCTGGTTACGGAAGGTGCACTTGAAATTGTACATGATGACAAGACTATCCTGGCAAAAGCACAAGGTGGGGAATGTTTGATTGTATTGAAGAAGTTCTGTTTAAGAAATTATGATGTCATATTTGTAAGGAAAATAAACCTTGTATTTCTTTACTTTTGATAGGAAGACTTTTTTTTTCCCAGAAGGGAAGTTTAATATGTTCATTTAATTTCATGTTTTAAAAAGCTTTGGGAAAAAGTATTTGAAGATTCTACATTTTGGAGGATTTCTGTTCCATTTTTCAGTAGCCAAAAAGGAGTAACAAAATCAATACAAGAAAAATGGCTTCCAGAGATGGTAAATTAGGAAACTAATGTTTATTTTACCTTAGCTTTTGGAGTTAGGAGACTTGCAGGTTTCTGTGACATGGTTTTGAGGGTGACCCTGCTGAGAAAGGGTTACCGAGCACTTGGGTGGATTCCGTGACTCTCCTGCTGGATCTTTTTTGGCTCAGGCTGAGAGCAGCTGGTATAACAGCTGGAACTCCGCTTTGTGAGAGTTGGTGGAAATGCACTGTTGTTGGAAATTACAAACCCTAGGAAATAGAACACTCCTGAAATGCCAGGCATTCCACAGAGATGACACCCTAAGTTTTTTACTGAATCTAGTGGGGACTGTCTTCGAATTTGTTCATGTGAATGATTGGTGCAGATAGGAATGAGACTATATAACTAGTGCCTCTCTATACAACTTGGTCAGGAATATTTATATTTTATTATGCCGGGAACACACCTCCTCTAAGCCAAGACAGTATTTCATTGTCATTTGAAAAGAAACCAAGCTAGTCAAAAGAATGCTGAAAAACGAATGTTTTAATAAATAAACCAGCGAAGAAGTTAATGATGCATTACCTTTTTAATGTGTTTGTCTTAGAATTATTCTTTGAGGGAATGAGCCCTGCATTGGAAACACCAGCATTAGATTTATAACAAACTAACATTGTCAAATGAACAGAGACCCATTGTAAAGGAGTTTACACAGAAATCTTTTTCAGTTGTGGTGCTTAGTATAGCAAGTATTTGGTACTTGACCATCTCTTTATTGTTATTTCTGGCGAGTGTTATTTCAACCTGAACAGGTCTCATGTTTGAACTAGAACTTGAACTGAACCTCTCAGTCTGAGGCAGAAATAAAAATAAATCCTTTTGAGACTTTAGTCTTCCTCAGTGCATCTGTTTCACTTTAGGTGAGGGCGTGAGCTCTGGAAGTAGCGTGTCCGGTGTAGAGCTTGGTGTTCCTCACACGGTGTAAACACACACGAACCCAAGTGAGCACGAGGACTCATGGTGTCTATGCGGCCCCGGGTTTCATCACATGTGCAGCATAGACATGCTGAAGGCCTGGGCAGTTAGGTAGTTTCCCACTGTAAACTCTATCTCTTGGGAGCAAATCATGCATTATATTGTCTTCATTATCATTGAGTGTCACTCCAGAGAGCCCCCTGATTCTTAGTGTGTGCTAAGAGTCAGGGATAAACTAGGAAATTATTTGACTAGTGATGTCTGTGTTTTGTACACTGACGATACTCCTTACTTTAGAAACAGTGCTGGAAATCACTGACATGCCTAGTGGTAGAGAAGATGATCGAGCTCTTTCCTTCTAGAAACCCGGATATGTCTGGCAAATAGCCACCTAAAATACCATCTATTATGATCATTTAACTCATGGTACCTCAACCTCAGCACCTCATGATTTGGGCTGGATAATTCCCCGTTACTGGCAGAAGTAGGGCAAGAAAGTGTTTGTCTTGCGCGTTTTCGTCTGTTTAGCAACATCCCTGGCCTGGTCCCACTAGACACCAGTAACAACTCCCCCATCCTTTACACGTTCCCGACTATGGCAAGCAAAAATTGTCAAATGTCCACTGTGGGAGATATCGCCCTTGGTTGAGAATCATTGGTTAATCTTAGTTACATGACTGCTTGCTTGGGAGGAAATGTTCTTTTGTTGAATGCTTAGGCTTCCTGTGTGTGTATCAAACCATGGCACGCCCCTGACCGGACTGAAGGAAAGCAGTTGGGATGGTGGTGGTGGTGTTCTCTATGTCTCCTTTCACCCCACACAGGACATGGTTGGAGATGCTGTTGCTTTTTCAGGTGTCCCCGGGACTTTTGTTCCTTCCTCTTGTGCCACAGGGGTGAGGTATCTCCATGTGGGCTTCTCTGTGCCCTCTGGAGAGTCTAGTATATCAGTGTTACAATAAACACTTTGATTACTTGAAGAAATGATATTTAAAAGAATGGAGCTTGTTTATGGGAGGCACATCTCTGCATTTGCTTATTTGTTTTTAGATACCTACTATAAAAAATGCCTGTGTGTTGTATCAAGATCCTGTTCACTCAAAGATTAATTTAACCACCTGCAATTGTTTTCATAGGCCCGCCTCATAACTGGATGAAGGATTTTATTCTCACAGTTTCTATTGTAATCGGTGTTGGGGGGTGCTGGTTTGCTTACACACAGAATAAGACATCGAAAGAACATGTTGCAAAAATGATGAAAGACTTGGAGAGTCTGCAAACTGCAGAGCAAAGTCTAATGGACTTACAAGAGAGGTGAGTAAGGTTAGAAAGCCAGAAGTCTTATTATCTATGTAGGCAAAGACGGTTTGTGAAAATGTACTGGGGGTGTGTGTTTACACACTTGTGTTAAGTTGGTTACACATAACCAGTAAACGTATGCACACTTCATATTTTTATAAAAGTTACATTGTTCTAATTATAGATTTATATTGAGGGTATGCTGTAGTGAATAAATGAGCAGATCAGTGGAAATAAGTCAAATGTAGGTGAAATGTATAGTGAAATTTTGTTTTTTTAACGTTTATTTATTTTTGAGAGACAGATACAGAGCACAAGTGGGGGAGGAGCAGAGAGAGAGGGAGACACAGAATCTGAAGCAGATTCTGTCTGTCAGCACAGAGCCTGATGCAAGGCTCCCAACTCATGAACTGCAAGATCATGACCTAAGCCGAAGTCACACGCTCAACCGACTGTGCCACCCAGGCATCCCGTGAAATTTTATTTTTAATATTTTGTTTTTTAATTTTTAAATGTTTTTATTTATATTTGAGAGAGAGACAGAGAGAAAGCAGGGGAGGGGCAGAGAGAGCCAGAGAAAGAATCCAAAGTAGGCTCCAGGCTTGGAGCTGTCAGCACAGAGCCTGACACAGGGCTAGAACTCATGAGCTATGAATGAGATCACAACCTGAACCAAATCAGACACCGAACTGACTAAGCCACCTAGGTGCCCCAAGTGAAATTTTATCTTTAACATGATTTAGATAATTGTGAATTTCTTAGAAGTCTCTTTGTTGACAAGTGATTCCCTGCTATCACTGTATTTTGAGCTCAAGATATCCGGAGTAACTGTATAATGGGCCACCTGCTGTTCTGCTCTTCAGATGTTAGATTAATAGAAAATAGTGTGATTTTGGATTGAACCCTGTATTCTGTTGCTTGATGCGTAATCATTCTTCATAAAAATAATGAAACTTTGGTGAGGAATTTTCATTTTTATCATTCTGTAAGGCTTGAAAAGGCACAGGAAGAAAACAGAAATGTTGCCGTAGAAAAGCAAAATCTGGAGCGCAAAATGATGGATGAAATCAATTACGCAAAGGAAGAGGCCTGTCGGCTGAGAGAGCTGAGGGAAGGCGCCGAATGCGAGCTGAGCAGACGGCAGTATGCGGAGCAGGAGCTGGAGCAGGTACTTCCGGCCTGCAAGCAAGGGCGTGTCAGGACATTGGCATTGCCCCTCTGGGGCGCCGTGTCGTATGTAGTCTTTGCGTTTAGGGGCATTGTATATTCTTCCTCGGTTAATAAAAGAATTATCTGTTCATATTGTTAGCATTGATCAAAGTCCATATAAACAAAATAACAGACTAATAATCCAAAGATAAAGTTACCATCATGTTCACTCACTGATGAAATCTTACCCCGTGCCAAGCTAATTATCTCCAGTGAATTTAAGGCGCTTATTTAGTCTAACATCTGTAATATGTTTCAGTTTCTAACTAACCTAGTGGAGTGTATCTAATGTTTAACTACTCTGCAGAGGTAAGGAATCTCTATTTAACATCCGTTTGAATCCTGTTAAATGGTTTTAGAACATAATTTGCTTAAAATTGTGAAGTTGTCTGAACGGACCTTTCCAGTATCTGCTGCTGTGTTGCTACTCAGGATGGAATGTAAGCCTTCAGGCATAGCTTGGTCCTTCAGGAGAGTGGAGAGGGGGTCCGGCAGAATTTGATTATAGACATCTGTTTTTGCTATAAAAAATTACCACAGGGGCGCCTGGGTGGCTTAGTCGGTTAAGCGTCTGACTTTTGCTTAGGTCATGATCTCGTGGTTCGTGGGTTCGAGCCCCACGTCGGGCTCTGTGCTGACTGCCAGCTCAGAGCCTGGAGCCTGTTTCAGAGTCTGTATCTCCCTCTCTCTCTGACCCTCCCCTGCTCACGCTGTCTCTCTCTCTCTCTCTCCTAGAAATAAATAAAAATATTTAAAAAATTAAAAAATAAAAAATTACCACAAACTTAACGGCTTAAAACAACACACATTTACTCTCTCACAGTTCTTAAGACAGAGTTTAAAATAGGCTCACAGGGCTGCATTCCTCTGGAGGCTCTAGGGGAGGATCTGCTTCCCTGCCTTTTCCAGCTTCCAGAGGCGCCTGCATTTCTTGGCTCTTGGCCCCTTCCTTCATCTTTAAAACATGTCACTCCAGCCTCTGCTCCTGTGGTCTCATCTCCTTCTGACCTTGACCCTTTCTTTAATGATAAAGAAGTTACAGACCAGAAGGCTTGCCCAAGATCAGAGAGTGCCTCAGTGGTAAAGCAGGGCCGAGAACCACGTCCCACCTCCTGCTTCACTTTGTGCCCTGTTGCCTTCTCAGCCAGGTGCTAAATAAGGAATAAGAATTGTGGGATAAATGAGTTTCAATTTCGACTCATGACAAAATGTTCAGTGTGTATTACTGTTTCCTTCAGGATTGTCATTTTTGGTAGAATTAGTCTGACTGGCGCAGCCATCTCTTATATTAATGGTTAGCTGTTTGTTTCCCTCATACCCCAGACATCTGCTGGATCTTTTCCCCGTAAGAGATTGTTCTTTTAAGCTAACTCCTAAGCAAACATCTACTGTGTCCAAAAGTTAGGTATTATGCCATTTATTCCTGTGAGAACTTACTTCCTTTTCCCACCAAGGCTTCTAACTCTTAGTTTACTCCTAGTGCTAAACTAAAAAGCTTACTAGCTATTTTCCTGAGCTTTATAGGTCAGAAAGAGCAAATCAGAAATTAGTAATGATAATGCTACAGAAAGACAAACTGATGGCAATGTTTTACAGGTGACTGCTTCATAGTGACGGAAAAGACGTCCTATAGAAAAGGACCCACAAATCACAAACATCCTAATTTGAGTTTTTTGGCAGAGAGGCCTTGCGTACCTTAGCGCACCTTAGAATCACCATGATATGTCCCAGTTCGGATGTAATAGTTCTAATGAGACCCTGATTCAGTAAGAGGTGGTTTAAAGGAGCTATGCTGGTATTTAAAGAACTCTGTCCAGCATGATGATAGTAATAGGAAACACAGTTTTACGAGTACCTACTGTGTGCCAGAAGTTTGTGCTATGCACATTACAGATGGTTGGCTCACAATTTTAATCCTCATAATAAATAAATATTATCCTCATTTATATGTGAAATGTGGAGAGAGGTTAAATAACTTGCCTGAAGTCACACAGCTGTTACATGGCAAAGGCAACATTTTGTTTGTCTTATTCCAAAGTTCATGTTTTCCTATACAGCTGTTAAAAGTTTTATTTAAAGAAGTAAATTTAACTGGGAAGCTACTTTACGTACAATGTCCTATAATCCGTATTTCCACATAGTTGGAAGTGTTACTGTATCTCATCTGGGAAGTAATCAACTTCTCAAAATTAGAAGTCAGGAATATCTGGCACATAGATTGCATCAAGCTGTTTTCTCTAAAACAAAAACACTTCTGGGTGAAAATAGTACTGCTTCATATTTTGTGTGGTTTAAATACTTTTCACATAAATTACTTTGTACTTAAAGTTCCAAGAATAGCAAAGTCAGGATGGATCATAGTATTCCCGTGTTCTACACAAGACAAGAAACCTCAGATTAGAAAGTAAAGAACTTGCAGAAGGTCACAGAGGTAATAAAGGTAATAATCGTAAAGTTGGGTCTAGGATCATGTTTTCAGATATTTAGGGTGTTTCTTTCTGTGATACCATGTTTTTACTTAGAACTGTTTTATTCCTGAGACACAAAAATTAGGTATATAATTGTCATTTTTGTAAACAAGTTAATAATCATTTGTTAACAGCTTTTACTCAATTTTTACTGCATCCATGCCCCTATGAATAACCGTGTAATTCAAACTAAGGACGGGAATTTAGGTCAAATGATAAACTTATGAATAATAGCAGAGAAAATATTTTGTTCAAATAGATGCTGTTACTGGAAGGTCATGGTTTCCAAAATTTTGAAACAGCATTTGATAGTCGAAACATTTCAGCCCCAGTTAATGCCAGAAATATAACAATTATGTGTTAAATGCATTTATTGAGTTTTTTTAGGGGAAATAAATGTATGGACATAATATAAATCTTGTTGATTAAAGAGAAAAACGAGTGAAATTTGAAAATAAATTTCCTGTTTAGTTCCTTGGCAAGGAAAATCTTACAGAAATTTTAGCTATAAATCTTGTGAGAAAGAGGGCCTGCTGACCCAGACTTTGTGGTGTTACACGGAACTCCATGTTACAGGACCTGACCTCAAATTCTCTCTTCCTGAAAGAGTAGCAGGGATGCCATACAGCCTAGCCAACCGCCGAGCACAGTATTGTCCTGAGCACAGGGCACAGTGAAATGTGTCAGACACGCGTTGCTTAGGATTTTGCTTTCAGTGAGTAATGTCTCACTGACTAAATTACTTTTAGTGTCAGTACTTCTGTCTACTTAGTGTCCCATTGTGATTTTTTTCTAATTTTGGCATTTAAAAAAAATACTTCTTTTATACTTTTCTTTCTATAGTATCTGACAGCTGTTCCTTTTCTTTATCAGAACAAACTTGTGTATAGTACTCTTATTAGTTTATTCTGTCACACAGTACAGTTTATTTAAGTTAGTTGGGTTTGTTCAGATCAGACATTGTTCTGCATATGAGTTTGGGAATGGAGTTTCTAGTGACCTTACCTGGCCCTGAGGAAGATAATGTGCAGTTCCGGTGCTCCAGAAGCGGGAAGCGCCACAGTTCATTTGTGACTTTGTCTGAAGGTCTTGAGTATGTACATAACTCCTTATACTCTACCATGTGTCTTTACACAGCTTTAGCTTCAACTCTTACTAGTTTCAAGGGAATTGTTTCTAGAATGGATTGTCTCTTCTATGTTTTTTTTCCTTAGGCTTTCTTTAAGAGTTTTTCCCTTAGCATCTAATACCAACTGATGCACTAGGCATTTTAGTTTTGTAACTGTTTATTATCTGGCTCCCCTAAAGGGCTGTCCAAGGAAGACTTTGACATCCTGACTCTGAAGCCTATGTATAGTTTCTCATGGAAAAGTCAAGTAGAGTCTCACTCCGAATCTGTTTTCTTGAAATTTACACATGGTCTGCAAATTCTGATTAATCTACTTTCTGGTATGTTAGAAGCAGTGAATTGAGTAGTAAGTGAAACAGACTATAATAGACAGATGTGCTTATAATAGTGAGAAATAAATAACCATAAAGAAGATGTGAAAACCTTCAAAAATGGTCCAGTGAAATAGCTTACAGTAGTGTCTTCTGGGAACATTAGAAGGGGCAGCGGGACTTTGGATACTTCTTTATGTTCTCCACAAACAAACACTGTGTTATGAGAAAAACATAATCAGTTTTGGTTTGTACATGCCTGGCATTTTCTTCTCCCCGGTGAGTCTGGCTGTTATAAAATATAAAAACTAAATAATGCAACTTGAGATCTGTGTAAGCCCCCTTCTACCCTTTGGCTTTCCAGCTTTGCTTAGTGAGTTAAGATGCACTTAAAACTTAGTTTTAATATTCTAAATATACTATTTTAGACTTAGTGATTTGAAAAAGATGCTTACAAAGAGCATAATTCAGATTGCTTTTTCTTTTAACTTTGGTACTAAAAAACCTTAATTACTTAAAATGTATCTCAATATAAATATCTTTTTTTAAAAAAGACATTTCTCTCTTTTGCTGCATCTCCATACATCTCTCCCCCACTCTTTTCCTTCTTCCCTCTTTCCCAGGTTCGAATGGCTCTGAAAAAGGCTGAGAAGGAATTTGAACTAAGAAGCAGCTGGTCTGTTCCAGATGCACTTCAGAAATGGCTTCAGTTAACACATGAAGTAGAAGTACAGTACTACAATATTAAAAGACAAAATGCTGAAATGCAATTAGCTATTGCTAAGGATGAGGTACTCTATTATATTTCAAAACTTAATAAATTTCTAATCATAGACCGTAGAGTAAAATTACTTTATTTAGAGAAGTATGTATCTTTCAGAATGACCTTAGTGTCATTAAAAAACCATCCCTATTATCTCTATCACAAATGTTTTATACAGAGCTTTTCTCCTCTAGGTTGCTTCTTCATATCTGATTCAGGTTAGTAGTTACCAGAAATTAATGTTTGACTCTTATAAATTGTGTGAAATAAGATTAAGTTTTAATCTGATTTCTAGCAAAAAAAAAAAAAAAATCTCAGTTCACTCACTAACACCTCATTGCAGTAGGATATAATTAATGTTATTTTGTTAGTTTTAATAGAAGATTCAGGTCTTTCTGAGCCATCAAAATAAGAGAAAAATTTTCCAGAACAAAGTTTTGAATTCTGTTGACTGCCTTAGGAAAGCATGCTTTCTCCTTCATCTGTTTTCTTTTTTGGAAATTAGGGCTTTACTTTGGCTAATATAGTTCTCCACTGGTTTCATCATTATTAATATATTCAAAACAAAATAAGCTTGTATATGTGTTATTTTTTTCCAGAACTACCTTATTTTCTCTCTGCTTGGGTTCCTAGGCAGAGAAAATTAAAAAGAAGAGAAGCACAGTCTTCGGGACTCTGCATGTCGCACACAGCTCCTCCCTGGATGAAGTAGACCACAAAATTCTGGAAGCAAAGTAAGAATGTTATTTTAGTTCTGTGTTTGTATTATGCTGAAATTTGTATTTTATAGAGAATTTATACTTATTTAATCATGTACAATTACATAATTTATACTAATTCTGAGAATGGATAATTTCTTCTTGAAATTAATTTAATGCCATGGTCTGTCTGTTCATGTAGTTGCCCTTTTTAAGTGCCATGTTAAAGACTCGTTGATACAGTAAGTAATCCCTACCTTGGCTTTTACAGGAAAGCGCTCTCGGAGTTGACAACTTGTTTACGAGAACGACTTTTTCGCTGGCAACAGATTGAGAAGATCTGTGGCTTTCAGATAGCCCATAACTCGGGCCTCCTCAGCTTGACCTCTTCCCTGTACTCTGATCACAGCTGGGTGGTGATGCCCAGAGTCTCCATTCCACCCTATCCAATTGCTGGGGGAGTTGACGATTTAGATGAAGATACACCCCCAATAGTATCACAGTTTCCTGGTAAGTGCTGAATTCAAAAGAGAGTTGGTACAGTTTTTGAATTTTTTTTAATGTTGATTCATTTTTGAGATGGGGGGCAGAGAGGCAGAGAGAGGAAGACACAGAATCCAAAGAATGCTCCAGGCTCTGAGTTGTCAGCACAGAGCCCGACACAGGGCTCAAACCCATGAACTGTGAGATCATGACCTGAGCCGAAGTCAGACGCTTAACAGACTGAGCCACCCAGGTGCTCTGAATTGGTGCAGCTTTTAAAGTAACTTTCTATCATGATTTTTGTGACTCATTCACTTCTGAAATCTGTGATAAAAATTTTGTGCATTCTTCATTTTCTCTTTTTTTCTTTTTGTGATTAATACCTTGTCTTTATTATGTGAGAATAATATATCAGGTGCGTATCCATGTAAATATACACACACATATATAGTAACACACCGTATGTGCTAAACATAGTACAGGCAAAGTACTCAGCTTTGAGGGTAAGTATCCTTTCTAATGGCAGCTTAATCTATAGTAGAAAGTAAATATTAGGGGAAAGATCTTGGAAACTTGAGTTCTAGCCCTAGCTCTGCCACTGGAAAACCAACTGTGTGACTTTGAGCTAGTCTGTGATTTATCTTAAATTGAGTTGCCCTTCCCAGTAGGCATGGTTTTGTTGTTGTTGATTTGCTTTTCTAATTCTGTCCTTTTGTTGAAGAGCATCCTTTTCCTGTATTTTAACTCACGAAGCACTGAATCAGTTTACTTTTAAATAGAAAAGTGCTTGTGTTAAGAAAAACATTTTTTTGTTGCTAGAAAGTAGGACTCCTCCCACAGGTGGCTTTTTAAATTTTTTTTATTATTCTTTTTTTAATGTTTGTTTACTTCAGGGGGAAGAGAGAGAGAATGAGCACACGTGCAAGAGAGCAGGGGAGGGTCAGAGAGACAGAGAGACAGGGAGACAGAGGCTCCAGAGCAGGTTCTGTGTGACAGTGGAGAGCCCTGTGCGGAGCTCGAACCCAGGAACTGTGATTTCATGACCTGAGCTGACATCAGATGCTTAACCGATTGAGCCACCCAGGTGCCGCCCCACTCCCCCGCCCGACCCAAAGGTGGTTTTAACATGGACAGTTTTCATTATATTGCTTTGTTATGCTGTATTCTTTGTTTTGTTTTTATGCTGTATTCTTTGAAAATGTTTACATTGTAAGGAATACATTTTGGTAGGAAGGTGAAATTTAAGTATTTTAGATTTTTAATTATTTTTAGAATTTATTAATACATATTTGGACTTTTTTGCAAAGTTATATTCTTATATTAGAAATCATTTGAACAACTCTTCATCCTTGTTTTTGCCTGCCTAATTCATTTTCCTGATCTTTGTGACATTTTGAGACAGTGTAGGTAGAACAAGATTCCAAAGAATGGAAAGCAGAATCTAATTATTGATTGGTTGAAAACGTAAATAGAGGGGCGCCTGGGTGGCTTAGTCGGTTAAGCGTCCGACTTTCACTTAGGTCATGATCTCGCGGTTCGTGGGTTCGAGCCCCGCGTCGGGCTCTGTGCTGACTGCCAGCTCAGAGCCTGGAGCCTGTTTCAGTCTGTGACTCCCTCTCTCTCTGACCCTCCCCTGCTCACGCTCTCTCTCTCTCTCCTAGAAATAAATAAAAAATATTAAAAAAAAAAAAAAAAGAAAACGTAAATAGAGATTTTAGTCTTAAGTCATAAACGTTTTCCAGTTTGAATTTTTTTATGCAATTTTTATAGTTTTCCTGACATGATTTATAGAGGGTTCTAATTTTTAAAGCAATTTTATGAAATACAGCCCTCAGTTTGCAGATAAATTGTGAATGACCATGCGCTTATGTTCATTTCTGTGGCTTTAATTCTCAGGCTTAATGGCAGATAGATAACAGGAGTCAGTTGGGGAGGCACCGAGCTCTTAAAGCAGGAGAGAAGAGAGGACAGATTATAAATGCAGTGCCTCCTGGCATGTGTTCATTTCCCGCGGCTCATGCTACAGGATAGTTATGGCTGGCTCTGCTGTTGGAATATTGTCAACTTGTTTATTTGAATTATATGCCCTTAAACTTGCCAAATGCCACACGACTCATAAGTATTTGATTCTGTTTGAAAACTGTAGCTTCTTAAAGTCACAGTTCCTCCTCAGAATCCATAATTATTCAGTATCAGAAGTATGCATGAAGATATGTTCCTAAATTAACTAGTTTATTTTCTTTGCTTTTTTGTTTTGAAGTTTTTTTTGATGGGGCAAAATAGCTCTATGTGACTAATTGCCTTAAGGTTTCAGTGATTACAATATACAGAGAAATTTGAAATGTGAAAAAAGTACAAAAGTTTATTTTAAATTTAGTATGATTTAGAAATTCTGTGATCTAATTTCTTATCTGTGAAAAAGAACTCCTGCCAAAGATTGCACTCTGAGAGCACTACTTCCACCCAGTGGCCCAACAGTGATACTCCACTCTGCTCGGTTATGAAAGCATAATTCCGTATGCTAGGGTAGGATGGAGGCCTTTTTATTTATATACTCTCTGAGAAGTTTTAAATTTGTACCCTGAGTATGTGTGAATTTTTGTAAGTGTGAAGTAACAGGAAACGTGCCTGTGGAGCAAAGTAAAAGATTGGAAAACTGTACACAGAATAGTATTGTCTGTGTTTGACTTTGTATAAAGAAAAAAGATGGGCGCTTGGGTGGCTCAGCTGGTTGAGCATCCAACTTCGGTTCAGGTCCTGATCTCACGGCTCATGGGTTCGAGCCCCGTGCCAGGCTCTGTGCTGACCGCTCAGAGCCTGGAGCCTGCTTTGGATTCCGTGTCCCTCTCTTGCTCTGCCCCTCCCTCACACATGCTCTGTCTGTCTCTCTATCTCTCAAGAACAAATAAAACATTTAAAAAAAAAAGAGAGGGGCTCCATGAGTGGCCCAGTTGGATAAGCACCCGACTCTTGGTTTCAGCTTGGGTCATGATCTCATGTGATTTGTAAGATCAAGCCCTGTGTCGGGTTCTGGGTTGACAGCACAGAGCCAACTTGGGATCCTCTCTCTCTCTCTCTCTCTCTCTCTCTCTCTCTCTCTCTCTCTCTCTCTCTCCTCCTCCCTCCCTCCCTCCCTCCGTCTCCTCCTCCTCCTCTGCTCATGCTTTCGGTCTCTTTCTCTCTCAAAATAAATAAACCTTAAAAAAATATAAAATATTATCAAAGGTTGGCGCTTTGTGGGTAGGAGAACAGATGATAGTTTTCTCCTATTTTATAGTATGTGCTAAATATTCATAGCGGGAATGTGGTTTTAGTTTATTTAAAATTTCTTAAGTCCTTCACATCTGCTTAAAAGTACTGAAAATAAAATGCTCACCTGCTACAAAGATAAACAGATTTCAGTAATTTGCCTTACTCCTCTCTTTGCCCAAAATAAACTGTTATACATAAGCTAAAGCACATGGCCTCCCCTTCCTTCTCTTCTCAAGTTGTGAGAACTTATTATACTTTTATTACAGGAAGATGTATCTATAAACAGCAGACAAAATTGTTTAAAAATTTGCATACAGAGGTCACCTGCTGGCTCAGTCTGTAGAACGGATGAGTCTTGATTTCGGCTCAGGTCATGATACCAGGGTCGTGGGATCTAGCCTCGCATTGGGCTCCACTGAGTGTGGAGCCTGCTTAAGATTCTTTCTCTACCCCTCTCCCCATCTCAGGCTCTCTCTCTCAAATTAAAAAAAAAAAATTACATAAATGCTAATCACACTGTTGATAATGTCTTGCAACTCTTTTTGCTCACAAGTATATCTTAGAAATTCTCCATATTAATATACAGCTACATTAAATTCACTGTAACTGTTTAATGAGTTAACCACAGTGTATCTGTTTATTCTTGATAACAATAAACCACAGTTCATCCATTTTTCTCCTGAGATAGGTAGGTTCTTTGTACTTTTTTGCCTTTGCAGATAGTACTGCAGTGAGCATCCTTACCTTACCTTTATCTCCTTTGTGCATAAGTTTCTTTGGGTGGACACCTAGGAAATGGATCACTTTTAGTCACTGGGAGGGCAGCTGTTACTAGTCATTGTCAGGTTGCTCTCAAAATGATTCTGTTCCTTTTTATACCCAGCATTTATGAGAGCTTTTCTGCCTGTATCCTCACCAGTCCTTGGGATAGCCTGATTTGTTTTGTAACTTGACTGAGTATGGTATAATACCATAGTTTTATTACAATTTTTATTTCCTTGATGACTTTTGAAGTTGAGTACCAGTTCATTTATTAGTGGTTGTCATTAAGATTTCTTCCTCTCTGAATTTCTTATTCCTACTGTGGAATCCCTCCCAAGATTCCTTCCTGATCTGGAAGAGGGTTTTTTGTTTTGTTTTAATATTTTCTGGTTATTTGATGGTTGTAGATAGCTTCTCCCAAGCTTTGGCTTTTCTTTTTCAGTGAACTATGTTGTTTACTTTTTCAATCATATGAGCTTTTAAAAAAACATTTCTAATGACAAATTTATGAACCTGATTTGTGCTTTTTTAATATCTTTTTTTAGAAGATGATAGATGTTTCCCCTCCTAAAAATTTTTTTAGATTTGCTTTAATCCTTTAGTCTTTTAATCTACCTGGAAGTTATTTTTGTTCATATTGTGGGATAGGAATCTAAATCCGTCTCCTGATGTGTGGATAAACAGGTGTCCCAGCCGCATTCCTGCTCTCTCCCTGCCCATCTGTAACCACACTTCTCTCCACAGGTGCAGCCTCTCTGTTTTGTTCCATTGCTTTCATTCTGCTTTAGTTGCTGTTTATAGTTTTATAGTATGTGTTGGGGTTTGCTAGATCTAAGTCTTCCTTTATTATTCAAATTCAGGATTGTTATTCTTGGCTAATACGAGTTTTACAATTAGCTTATGAAACTCCATAAAAGGTTTCATTAAGGTTTTACTGGAATTTCTTTGAATTTATTGATGCATTTGGTAAGAGTTGTTATTTGTAAATTTTGTTTATTAAGATCTTCTCTTATGTCTTTAAGTAAAATATAAACTTTTCTCTGTATTCTTTCACATCTTTTCTAAAAAGATTAATTTCTGGATACCCCATAGGATTTTTTTTTTTGGTAAAAAAAATTTTTTTATACATGTTACCTTTCTTAAAAAAAAAAAAATCCTATGTGAAATTGCTTATTGCTGATGTCTAGAGAACCACTGTTGACTTTCCAAGTTGATCTTATATAGAGAAATAGTGAATTCTCAAATGAGTCTTTTGGATTTTTGTGTGTGTGCAATAAGAAGTTATTTTTTCTTTTTCAGTCCTTATATCCCTCCCCTTATTTTCCAGTCTAAGATCTCCAGTAACATGTTGAGTAATAGTGGTGATTGCAGGCAATAATGATTGTCATTTCTTACTTTAAAGGGAATGCTCCCTACCATGAAGTGTGATTTTTTTTTTTTTGTTTTTGTTTTTGGTAGATTACTTTTAAGTTAAGGAAATTAATTTTATTCCTATTTTGTTAAGAATGGTTGTTCTTTTAAATCAGTGGATGTTAAAATTTACCAAATTCTTCCCTGTGTAATTTGAAGTGATCAGTTGTATTACTTTTCTTTATTCTGTTGTATAAAAGGAGCCTAGTGTGTGAATGCGTGTAGAAAAGTCAGGGGAAGGACAGGTGCTGGTCAAATGTTAGGGAACGATTGAGCTATTCGTTGAACTTAGCAACAAGGAAGTAGATTTTGACTTTGTTGAGAACAGTTGTGCTGAAATTGTACCTGAACACTTTACACTCTTTGAATTAAAATGAACAGTGCAGAAAGTAACAGATAAAATTCTTCATAAAAGGAAGAGAGATATGTCAGTTGAAAAACAGTCTGAGGACAGAGGAGAGTTTTTTGTTGCTCTTGTTTATCATTTTGTTTTTTAGGTTTATTGTTTCAGCATTGATTTTTTAAATGCTATTGGGAAATAGAGGCAAATAAAAGCAACAGAATGACTACTCAGTAGAGTAAGATGCTTGAGCCTGGGGTAGAGCATGGGACAGATAAGTGGAAGGAGCAGACTGTTTGAACTAGAAAGGTAGACAATTGGTCAGAATCTCAGTTGTCTGTCTGTTGTCTTGATATATAATACCAAAAATGGAGCGATGCCGAGTGAGGAGGCAAGACAGGGTTTGAGAGTGGGCGGCGGTGTAGATGTCTGGAGAGGAGGGGAAACCAAGATTGGCTAAGGGGTTGGGAGGTCATACAAATGATTGGTAAGGGGATGACTGGGAGCTGGGATGAGTGGAGTAGAGATGGTAGATTCAGGTGGCTTAATAGTGTGAGCTTCAAAAAGAGCACAGTTTTGCAGAAGGGTGTAGGTAGGAGTGAGCGTTTCCAGAGAATAGTGCTGGGGGTAGTGAGGAGGCCACCAGACTGAAGTTCTGGTGTTGCATCGCGGGAGGCATGCACAGCAATAAGCAGACTCAGCGCGCAAAGGCTGTTCTGACGTAGGGGAGGTTGGTTTCAGTTAACGCAAGGAAGTGGAGTGCCCATGCAGTGAAGAAGTTAAGTGTGTAAGGAAAGTTTTCTCCTTGCCTGGGTCTAGACTGAGACTGGAGCAGAAACAAGATGATCTAAGACTTCTGGTTAGTTCCATGTTCATCAGTGTTAAGGAAACAAGTTTTGGTCTGACGTCTGCTTAACAGGTTGAGAGACTATGTACACAGTGTTCAAATGACGCCTGACTAAAAACTTCTTAAAGAGAGGGGGTCGAACGTAAGAGGCTCTTACTTACAGCGAACAAAGAGGCTGCCGGAGGAGAGGGGATGGGCTGAGATGGGTGTCGGGGATTAAGGAGGGCACTGGTCGTGATGAGCACTGGGTGTTACATGTAAGTGATGAATCACTGAATTCTACTCCTGGAACCAATATTACACTGTATGTTAGCTAACTAGAACTTAAATCGAAACTAGAAACGTGAAAAATAAAATAAAACTTCTTGAAGTTCAAACAAGTTACACGATCTCGAGATAGCTGTTGAAAATGTCAACCTGTTTTTTTACTGATAGTTTTCATCTTTTAATGGTAACATTAACAAAGTTTTGCAGCAAAGTACAGATTCCTTAAAAATATGCCATATTGATTTTTCAGCTTAAAGATTTATTATCCTGGATAACTTTTCAAGACTTTGTGGTTAGGAATGCCAGATTTCATGTTAGAACCTCGTGTGTTTATGTTCTCTCCTGTTTATTTTCTAGACCTGCTTTCATTTTTATTACACTTTATTTTTTTAATTTCTGAACACTGCCGAGAAGCGGCAGAGGTGATGGGGGCGGGTGATGACAGGGCAGGTCCTTCCCCAGTCAGGGCTGGGCCGCCGTGGCGGTAGGAACGGCCCGATCTCCAGTGGGGGGGGGGGGGGGGGGGGGGGGGATGCCCACAGCAGGCCCGGAGGCAGCCCAGGTCTCACGCGCACGTGTGTGTTTGTGCTTCGTTTCAGGGACCATGGCCAAACCCACCAGCTCGTTGGCCAGAAGCAGCAGCCTGTGCCGCTCCCGCCGCAGCATCGTGCCAGCCTCACCACAGTGCGCGCGCGCGCAGCTGCCTCCGCATGCACCCCACCAAGCCCACAGCCGGCACCCCCAGCACCCCCAGCACCCCCAGCACTCCTTGCCTTCCCCGGACCCTGATATCCTCTCAGTGTCAAGTTGCCCTGTCCTGTATCGAAATGAGGAGGAGGAGGAGGCCATATACTTCTCTGCTGAAAAGCAATGGTATGGCCGTGACTCCACTACAGTAGAGGCTGGGCTGGAGGGCGGGCACGGGTGGGTAGGAGGGGTGCACGGGTGAGCTTTCCGGCGCTGCACAGCCAGTTACCACAGACTTGGCGGCTTCCGGCAGCGTCCGTTTATTAACCCTCAGTTCTGTTTGCCTAAGTCCAAGCGTGGTGTGGCTGGGTTTTCTGCTCAGGGACTTGCAAGGCCAGATTCAGGGTGGTTGCCTGGCCTTGTTCTTCTCTGACACTTGAGAGCCACTTCGAACTCCTTTGGTTGTGACAGAATTCAGTTCCTGTGGTTACAGCACTGAGGTCCCGGTTTCCGTGCCTGCCCTTGGCTAAGGCCGCCGCCAGTTCCAGGCAGGCGTACACTGGGCCTTGCTGGGCCCGGCCTCTGCCCTCAGAGGCAGCAACAGAGACTAGGCCTTCTGACAGGTCCCTTGGAATCTCTGGTGTCCCCTGTCTCTGATCTCTGGATCCAGTTTTAAAAGGCTCCCCTGGATAATGATCTTTCTTTGTGGAGATCAGCTGATTTGGGGCCTGGGTCACATCTCAGAATCCCTCCATGGCAGCACCTCTGTTAGCCTTTGATAGAATAACTGGCAGAACATGTGTGTACCCAAGGCTAGAAACTTCAGGACCATCTCAGAATTCTGCCCACTATGGACAGGTAGATATTGTGCCATGTAAGCTTGGAGACCCTGCAGGTGACTCAAGTCCCAGAACACAAAGTTGTCCTTTGAGTGGTTTTATATATAAAATACGAAGGCATAAACTTAAGTATACTTGAACACAAACATTAAATATGACTGAGTTTTTAAAATATTTGTTGCTACTTAATGATTTTTTTTTCTATTGTGTGCTAGTACCTGGCTAGCAAACAGGAAATATCAGACGTCAAAGGTGTAAGGAAGTGTTAAGAACTTAAAATAAAGGAGGGCATTATGTTCATAGGAGTCTGTTGGTATAAAGTGGGCATAGTGTGTCCAGCCCTGCCGAGGGACCACCGTGCTCCCGGAGACCTGTGCATCGGGGGCTCTCCTAAACCCCTCCCTCTTTCAGAGCAGTGTGATATTAAGTGACGGAAAACTGACGCTGGCTCCTGAATTTGTGAACACTTCATAGCCATGTAGCCCTGAAGTCTTCCTGTCTTCAGATGAAAAACAAAACCAAAGGGAAGGACGGGACGCTCTCCTGCTCCGGCTCCTCTCTGTCATGTGATTCTTTAGTTGGCATCATCGTCAGATGATAATTTTCATACATGATTGTTTTATCTCTAGTGAGAGTAAACTTTGTGAGTAGCCAAGATCATTATGGCATATTCCTGAGGAGATAGCCCAAGATCTGTATCCTCATTACAGCTGGAAATTTGACACGTTTGCTTGGATACCACGTTCTGATTAGTTTTGTGTATCATCTTCGCAGTAAAACAAACCATGGTCACCTGCAAGGTGGCTTTGCTGACAGAACTCGTTTGTGTGGCATATGGAAATTGCTAGGGAAACTAGAGCTCTGTGTCCAGTAGGATTTTCGTGTTTATGGAAATGAGTAGTCTTCATTTCAAATAACGATGTCAGAAATGCACAGCTGTCTTGTAAATATGAGAATTTGGATTCAGAAAACTTTTCCTCCTCTTTATGTAGTCTCTTACATGATGAACCAGTAGAGTCCTTACAAAATAGTAACAGTAATAACATTCACTATTTACTGATCTTTTACGCTCTATGCATTATGCACACGTATGCCATTTAAATCATACCTTCAGTTGAGTCTTATTATATAGGCATTAAACTTGCATGAGTTCACCTGTGCCTCACTGTGAGAAAGAAATGGAAAAATAGCATAAATGGTACACCTAATTAAATTTAACATTCCAAAGAATATATGCTCTTAAAAATATGCTCAGAGAGCATACCAGTCCTGCACTCTGAAGCTGACTAGTTAGGCAGAAGAATTAACACTGCAGATTATTATTTGTTTTGGAGTTAGGATGTTAGAACTAGAAGTAATTTTAGAGATTAATCAAATTATCTTACTTTGGCAGTGAAATTGAGACCTGGTTAAGTGATTTGCCCCAGGTTATGTAGCTGATTAATGGCAGGCCCAGGACAGGAATTTCAGTCTCCTAACTTAGAGCAGTATTCTTTTCACATACTTTTAGAGTTTAGAGACCAGTTTTTGAAATATTTTTAACCTAGCTTAGAATTTCACACACAAAGCAGCCAAACCACATAATTTTACCAAAGTAAATTGGTAAAATTCTAACTAAATCAGCTTCTGGCTCCGGACAATGAACAGCTTCAGGGAACAGTGATATTTGCTGCATAATAAACGGATATCCACTCCACAAAGAAGTGAACAGAAAGTCCCCTATAGTGATTGATTTCTGAGTCATTTCTCTTTATCTGAGCTGCCTTGTGCCCTCTGTTAGCACTCCCCACTATCATATTGTAAAAGCACTTAATAATCCTGCAGCACATGTAGCTATAAGTATGAAAGCATCATTGAAGTCTTTATTTGCCCCGGGGGATTTGGACCTTCTGAGAGTGTGTAGTGTAATAGAAACAATCTTCACATACATGTGTGAGTAAAATCCGTAGAAATGACTAAATACATTGAGCAATCTAAGATACAGGTCTAAGATACAGGTCTAAAACACGGTATTAACATGAAAAACATGTCAGAAATAATATCACTGTGTGAATAATGATAGTAATCACAGGTCATCCAAGGTGAGAGATCAGTCAGTTCATTTACTCTATAAATATGAACTTAGTTCCTTGCTGTGTGCCGTGCACTTGCTAATAACTCAAGCTGCCAAGACAAGTGAGACCAGGTCGCTCTTGCTGGTAGATTGTGATCACGTGTTCTTGCCTTTTTCTTCCGTCTTCATCTCTCTTCCTTGTCCCACCGTATTTCTTTTGCCAGTGACTTTTTACCTTGACTCTATTTTTTTATTTTTTTTTTATTTCTTATCATTTCTTTCATAGAGTGAACAATATTTGTGTCATTTGTGGTACGTACCAAAACAAGTAAGGCATGATCTCTGTTATCTGAGATCTTCTCTTTTTCTTTCATCTGTCTCTCGTCCATTTGTTCATTCATTCACTCATTCATTCATTTATCACATATTTATTAAATATCCGCTGTGAGTGCAGAGAATACAGAAGTTAGTAAGATTCCCTGTCCTCATGATCTTTTCTTTCTTCTGGAGAGAGAGCAAAAGTTAATATAAAATATCGTTTTGGGTAGTGGGGTTTTCTGGGATGCTAAACAAAGGTACAAAGAAAAGAGAATGCTTTCTAGATAGAGTGGCTAGGGGAAGTCTCTCTGGAGCGAGACCCGGATGACATCGAGAAATAAGCCGCGTAGAGATGGAGGGAAAGAAAAGAGGAGGCAGAGGGAAAGAGCAGGTGCAGGAGCCCCGAGGGAGTCACGGGAGTGGCACGTTGGGAGGAGCCGGCAGCGGCCGTGGGGTGATGAGCCAGCAAACGGCGGGGCCTGCAGCCGGAGCCGCGCCCTGGGCCTGGTCCTGCTGGGCTTTGTGGACATCGACAGCGTCTCTGGATTTTAGCCTGAGTGCGGGAGGAAGCGGTAGAGAGTTTTGTGCAGGTAAATGATGTGCTGTGAGTTTTTAAAATCCACTTCAGTGTCTGTGTGGAGAAGTAGGTGGGAGGCCGGAACAAGAAGGGAAGCAGGGAGACCAGTTAGGAAGCTGTTGCCGTCATCGCGGTGACTCCGGGGTAGTGTGGTTCAGGAAGAGTGGTGGTGGCAGTGGGGGGTGACAGGTGTTGGATTTGAGGTGTATTTTGAAGGAATGGCCGATAACATTTACTGTATGTTGGCCTTGGGGTTGTGAACTTTTGTCTTCTTTTTATTCTTCTCTCTTTACTGTGGAGAAGAGGGGGCCAGAAATCACAAAGGGATAAACCTGTGAGAATTTATTGAATGTCTGCTTTTTAAAAAATAGTGTTGGGGCACCTGGGTGGCTCAGGCAGTTAAGTGTCTGACTCTGGGTTTCAGCTCAGGTCAGGATCTCATGGTTTGTGGGATCGAGTCCCATGTCAGGCTCGGGCTCTGTGCTGACAATGTAGCTCTCTCTAGAGGATTCTCTCCCTCTCTCTCTCTTTCTCTCTCTGTCTCTCTCTCTCTCTCTCTCTGCTGTTCCCCAACTTGAACCCTCTCTGTATCTTTCAAAATAAATAAATAAGCTTAAAAAAATAGTGTTACATCATTGACTTTCACCTCCCATCCCCCCTCCATTCCTTCATTTCTAAACTTGGGAGAACTTACATTTTAGCTTAGTATATCCCTTTCTTCCTACCTCAGGAAGATATATTTCATCAACTTAATGACTAAAAATAAAGGGAGAGATAGTGACTCAAGTTTTTCTTTTAAAATATAAAATGTCAACTATGTGATTTAGAAAGAAAAATAATATTGAAACAAAACACAAATGTAGCTGAAATGAAATGATTAAATCTGTAAAATTGAAACATTTTCATTTCTCTGACAATTGAAGGAGATGTAACATCAGTTTCTTAGATTGGAAGATTTTATTTTTATAGTTTACATAAATATTAAACATTGAGCATTGATAAGTTATATTACTTCAAGTAGTAATTTTCCGATTTTGTCAAAATGTGTGTTGAATTTTAGTATTTCTTCCATTTACATTTTGATAAATTAAAAAACAGAAGTTGTTTTAGTTAGAATTAATTAGAATGTCTGCTGGTAATCTTAAAAAGTATGGATTTAAAATTTTACCGCTGTCTCCGCCCCATCCAGGGAGGTACCAGACACAGCTTCAGAATGTGACTCCTTAAATTCTTCCATTGGAAGGAAGCAGTCTCCTCCTTCGAGCCTCGAGATATACCAAACGTTGTCTCCTCGGAAGATCTCACGAGATGAGCTCTCCCTAGAGGATTCATCCAGAGGGGATTCACCCGTGACTGCAGATATCTCTCGGGGTTCTCCTGATTGTGTCGGTCTGACGGAAACGAAGAGTATGATCTTCAGCCCGGCCAGCAAAGTGTACAACGGCATCCTGGAGAAGTCCTGTAGCATGAACCAGCTCTCTAGCGGCATCCCGGTGCCGAAACCTCGCCACACGTCCTGTTCCTCCACTGGCAAAGACAGCAAAGCGGCACCGGAAGCCCCGCACGTGGCCAGGATAAGCAGCATCCCTCACGATCTTTGTCATCATGTAGAGAAAAGCAAAAAGCCATCAAAAATCAAAAGCCTTTTTAAGAAGAAATCTAAGTGAACCGGCTGACTTGATGGAATTCATTCAAGGGGCGTCTTTAAACTGTTATCTCCCATCTTCCACTCCCCCACGCCCCCTTTTTTTTGTTTTGATTTTAGGAATGTAACTCCACTGGGGCTTTCCAGACCGGCTGCCATAGTGGAATGTCCTAAGGGCAACTGTCTACTGTCTGCTTATTTAAGTGACTATACAATCAGTTCATCAAGCCAGTTATTACTGAAAAATCTTTAAGAGATGAGACAGTTTACAGTCATTTCTGCCTATTTATTTCTGCTTTGTTATTAGTGATGTATATACGACATTTTGTTCAAAGCCACTATGGACTTACAAGCTTTAATGGACTAGTAAGCCAGCATGGGCTTGCAAAAATTTCTTGTTTACCACACCATCTTCTTATCTTTCCACAGAGCTATTTACATCCTGGACTTAAATAACTTAAAGTAAAACTAATTGCACTACCGTTTTCCAGACTGGAAAAAAAAAAAAAAATCTCTGCAAGTGAAACTGTATAGAGTTTATAAAATGACTATGGATAGGGGACTGTTTTCACTTTTAGATCAAAATGGGTTTTTAAGTAGAACCTAGGGTTTCTAATTGACTTGATTTCTGGAAACGAAAACCCACGCTTTTATTATGGGAAGCTTCTTTAAATGCATTTAATATTATAAAGTTTCAAGTCCTGCTGTAAAGATCATGTTGTTTTGTTTTCCCCAGGGCTTTCACTGTGATTTACTGCATTGCAGGCTGTATGAGAAAATATAAATAATTTAGGAGAGAGAAGGCTCTTGATTCCTCACACACGTGGAAGATTTCAAATTTGACTGAAGGACCTAACACATTCACAAGTTTAAACTGAGGTCGGGGACTTGGGGATTCAAGCACTTGTTTACAGACTTTGAATAACATCAAAGAAGTTATGGTTTGTGAAGAATTTGTACTGTGGAAAAGATAATAAATTGCAGACATTATTGTGTGGGGCTGTGTTGATTTTTGCTGATAACACTCCACTGAAAACACTATACATTGTCTGGAGAGCTCGGTAACCCGTCTTGTTGCTTAATTGCACTATAAGAAACCGTGATTTGGAAGTTGTCAACAAATTTCTTTCCATTTTATATTGTTTGTCCTATTTTTATGTAGTTTGAAATGTTTAAATGTTCTAATATCAAGATTAACAAATATAAATTTATGGTGCATTTAGATTGTGTTGTATCAATTTGTAAAGCTCGGGGTTCATTAAACCACTAGGTTATTGTAAGGGTAGCTTTTACTGTGGAGATTGTCACATTGGGCAGCAAACTACATTCACATCTGGACAGTTTTTGCCTGAATACTTCTCTTAAAAGTCGGTCATAAATGTTGTGGATGATGCAGCGTGGATGGATGTGTGATGGGCAGTGGGCACGTATTGGCTAGGATGGGTTTTCAGCATTATGGCGAAAATAGGGAATGTCCAACCCAGTCCCGCTTAGAAGAAAATGCGAAAATTGTGGTGGTTTATTCTCTGTAGCACTGTTGTTGAAAACTGTTGAGGTCTTGAATGATACTTCTATGTGTCAGAGCCAGTGTTGCAAGGGCAAAGACTGACTGAAGCAGACGTAGTGTTGTAGGGCACAGAAGGGAAGATAACCTGACGGGTCAGGAGTTGCAGAGCAATGGCACTGAAGCTTATGCGGCCGGGAGCCGTGTGCACGAAGAATTGAAAAGCCTTCTGAAACGACTCTTCAGAGTGAAGGGAATACCATTATCTTTCTCCTTCTTAACAACCAGGCAGTTAGTTCTTTCCTTTGAAAATTGCAAAAAGGGTGAGAGAACTTTGCAGCTTGAAGGGTAAAAGCTGCTGGGGCAGGTTGTGGGGTGGGAGGGGGTGGCTCTAGGGGCTCCCACCTGGCCTGCAGCCTGTTGAAGGTTAGCAGGGAATCTGGGTCAAAGCCACCGGATGCTGGTGGTGGGGGCTGGGGTGGGAGAGGCCAGCCTAAGTGCAATGTGGGCCGACTTTTGGTTTGTGCTAACTTCCATGTGCTTATTTATAAACAAATTCGGCCAAAGATTTTTACTGCTCTGAGTTGCGTGTATTAACTTGGCGTTAGTACAGCGCTCTGTGTTTGCATACTCAACAGAGAGGTATTGAGTTTTAGAAAGCCATAGTAATTTCTGTGCTGTATCATTTACATGTGAAGAGTTGGGCATTTCTGTGTTTTTTTAATTACCCATTTGTTACCTTATTAACCTTATAAAACTATGGTGTTTTTCTGATTTTAAAAGTAATACCCTCCTTACGGTAAAAAATCGATTCATGATAGAAAAGTATGAACGAGGATAAACGAACAGCAGGTGGGTCAAATTCTACTGCCCAATATAATTGCTTTTCAGATTTTGGTTCATTTTGCCGGATCATTTTCTACATATTGATATATATTCTACATAACTGAAAACAAATCATATATATTTAATTTTATATCATGCTTCTCTCTTAATATAAGCATTTCCCCAACATCATTAAAATCTCATGAACATCATTTTAATGACTATGATATGCCATTGTTTGGATATATCCTAATACTTGTAATTATTCTTTTATTAATCTTTAGGCTATTTCTGATTTCTGGTATGTGAAATACTAGGATTTTACATTTATTGAGCACCCTGTACTAGGCACAGTTTTAAACTCTTAATATATATTCTCATATAATCTTTACACCCACCCCATAAGGTAGGTATTTTTTTGTTTTGTTTTGCTTTTGTTTTTAATAACTCATTCCACTGATGAGGAAACTGAGCCCAGAAAGCTAATAGTTTGCTGAAGGTCACATAGCTAGTAAGTGGTAATAATAACTTCTAAGTCATACGTACCACATAAATTCTAATCAACATTTTAACATTTTAATTCCTTAGAATATATATTTTTAGAAGTGAATAGAAAAACTTAAAGACAATTTATGTGTCATTGTGTATATGTATCTACACACTCATTGTCTTACATATATGCCTTGAGTGTAACCGTGTTTGAGGTTTCTTATCTGTATAGCCATGTGTATAGCCCCTGAGTACCTGAGTGTATGAATGCCCTTTTCCTTCACACTGTCACTTCTGAATTATCATTTGGTTAAAACTTTGCTAATTTAATTGGTATATAATGTCTAGTATGGTTGGAAAGTTTTTCATGTTACATATCTTTCATTTCAGTGAAGTGTCTGTTCATGTTCTTTGCCCATTAAGTTCCTGGGGCCCTAGTGTTTTTCTAATTCTTCTACAGTCTTGCAAATGTAGCTATTCTTGTATCCTCCATTTACCAACTAAAACAGTGATTTTTAAAAACCATACTTGCATTTTCCATGTTTATTTTTTAATGTAAGCAAAAGAAAACCTACAGGTAAGTTTTAGTCTTACTGATTTCCTGTCTTTAGGTCTTGAATAGTTTTTCCCAAAGAAATTACAGGTAAGAGACAATATAGAATCCACTTAATTCATTCAACAGGTATTTAATAGTCCACCAAGCATCACAGTCCTCAGCTCTGTAGGTATAGAGACTAATGTGACCAGTACCTCCCCTAAAGGACCTCCTCAGTATCTAGTAGGGGAGACAGACCAAACAGAAGTCCTTGTAATAAGGGCAGTGACAGAAATGTAAACCAAATGTTGGGAAGGTGGGAGCTAACGGGGAGAGGGGCTGTATACTTCAAAAGTATTTCTTAAATCAAGGAACAATGTAATGGTGCTAATTGGTCGAGGACGTAGAGAGATTTGCTATGGCGGAAACATTCAGGTCCAAGGGCAACTTAGTTTTAGGGCTTGCACTAACTAGTAGTCTAGTTCCAGCAAATGAGCTTGCAGTTACTGAGTTCCAGCCAGCCACTTTGTAACCTCTGGGAGGGTGCTCATTGTGGGGCTAAGTTGTTTATCAGAGAGAAGCACAGGGTTTGAGCAATCCCTTGTAAGCCCTGATAGTATCGATAAAAGACTGTTTCCTTCCGCACACCCCAACCCTAGCACAAGGTAGACTTTGTTGAAAGACAGTATCCTTTAGATTTACCCAGGTAGGCCTGATCCTATCTTGAATCCATTGGCTTCAGGCCAGCCTTCAGAATTTTATCTCAGTCCCATGATCGACCTTTCCTGAGGTTACCTGCAGGTCTCCACAGTGGCCCTCATTATCTACGACTGTGTTTGCTGGAGGCCCACATAGGACATTGCAGGGAGGCCTCAGTCCAGATCTTGCTTTCTTACCAGTGTGAAAGGAGTGAGACCATGCCCAGGATCCTCACGTGCATTACAGAATTTTGTCTGCTGGAGTCTCCATTGTCCTGATGGCCCACTTTTTACTGGATTGTGCTGTGATGTCTTCATCAGCCTCCAAAAGTGATGGCGAGCAGTGCGTGCGCTCACCGTGAGGCAGGCAGTGTGCCTTGCCCTCCTGAGACCGTGCTGTGGTCGGGTTTCTAGCCATTCCAGATCTCCACACCTCAGAGCAACAAGCATTTTCTGATTCGGCTTCTCACACTCTCCCTGGTTTGCCCTGGCAGATTCTAGTTCCCTCTGAAAGCAGGACCCTAGGAAGTCTTAACTGGGTCAAAATGGTTCTTTCTCTCTTGTTTCAGAATGTCACGTTTTTGTGGTTTTTTAAAAAATGTTTTTTATTAGAGAGCATGAACAGAGGAGGGGCAGAGAGAGGGAGGGAGACAGAGAATCACAAGCAGGCTTTGTGCTGACAGAGGGGCTCAATCCTTCAAACCTTGAGATCATAACCTGAGCTGAAATCAAGAATCGGATGCTTAACAGACTGAGCCCCTCCGATGCTCCAAGTTTCTTTTTTTTAATTGCAGTATAATTGGCATGTAATATTCTATTAGTTTCAGATGTATATGATAGTGATTCCATATTTTTATACATTACAAAATGATCCCCAGAATGAATGTGGTCTGTCCTCATACAGTCATTACAATATTATTGACTATATTCTCTATGCTGTCCATTACATCCCCATGACTTACTTTATAACGAGGTTTATACCTCTTGTCCCCTTCACCTGTATTATCTAAACCTTTTTTACTCTGGTGACGGACAGTTTGTTTCCTGTGCCTGTGAGTCTGTTTGTTCATTTGTTTAGCTTTTTTGATTCTCATATAAGTGAAATTGTAATTTGTCTTTCTCTGACTTATTTCTCTTAGCATAATACCCTCTAGGTCCATCTATGTTGTTGCAAAATGCAAGATTTCATTCTTTTTTTATGTAGCTCAATAATATTTCATCATATGTACATGCCACATCTTTATTCATCTTTTCATGGACACTTAGGTTGCTTCCATATATTATTGGCTCTTGTAAATAGTGCTGCAATGACCATAGTGGTGCAGATATCTCTTTGAATTAGTGTTTTGTTTTCTTTGGATAAATACCTAGTAGTGGAATTGCTGGATTGAATGTTCTATTTTTAATTTGGGGGATGGGGTGGGATTTTCATACTGTTTTCCTTAGTAGCTGTAGCAATTGACATTCCCACCAACAGTGTTGTTAAGGGTTCCCCTTTCTTCACATTCTCACCAACACTTGTCCTTTTGATAGTAGTTAATCTGACAGGTGAGAAGTGATAGCTCGTTGCAGTTCTAATTTGCATTTCTCTGATGATTTAGTAGAGCGTCGTTTTGTACATCTCTTAGCCATCTGTGTGTCTTCTGTGGAGAAAGTGTCTATTCAGCCCATTTTTTAATTGGGTTGTTTAATTGATATCATGTGTGAGTTCTGGATATATTTGGATATCAACCCCTTATGGAATTATATGACAGGCAAATATCTTCTCCCATCTTTAGTATGTTGCCTTTCTGTTTCGCTGATGGCTTCCTTTGCTGTGCTAAAGTTTTCACATTTTGGCTGCAAATCGTTGTGTAACATACCAGCCACCCTAATGTTGCATTTCCATTAAGAATATCTTGTGTTTGTTTCTAAAGTACAGCCTCTTTAATTGAAGCATCGTAGTTCTAAAGTTGCCACGTGAGCTAATGGCCCAGGTTCAATGTTAACTGCTGAAATACTTTTTAAACCTCTGGTCCCTGAGATGCGGTTGCATCACATTCTAGGGAGATTAAAGGACATCACCACTTAGAAACTGGAAATGGTTTCTAGAGTAAGAATGTGGCTTTTTTGTTTTGTTTTTGAAATATCAGCTATTCAAGTTTGATTCTCCTTGAAAAAGCTTTCTGTTAACACTCATGATGTACATCGGTAGCCAAGAAGAGAATAAGAAATTACAAGAAAGGGGGATTGGATTGCGGAGGATAGAATGAAGCCTGGGTGCAGCCAGAGGTTACCCTTGACCTTTAAAGGTCAGAAGATGAACCTGGAAATAGGACTGGGCATAGGACCTCGGGAAAGGAGGGGACGTAGGGAGGGAAGGGATGCATTTATTGTCAAATCACTAAATCTTGTTCGTTTAATCCCTGAATAGTTCTGCTAATGCCCCTGTGTACTGCCCTGGGGCCTTGCCTTCTTCATTCCTAATTTTATTAACTTCAGCAAGCTAACTGAACCAGGTTTTATCTTCTTGTCGGTGAGCTCGGCCACTCGATGGATTTTCTCTGATTAAAATCTTTTTATGCTTTTCCATTGCCTGTAGGATAAAATATAAACTTTACAGAGACCAGTGAAAGACCTTGATGTTCTGGGCCCTGCTTTTGCCACCAGCCCCAAGGCTGGTGATTATGGGCAGAACTTTACCAGTTACACGGAACTTCATGCAGTTTCCTGAAAGAGCCAGGCGGCTGCCCACCCACCTCCCTGACTGTATGTACGCTCGCTGCTTTTACCTGAATGTCCTCTCCTGGGGCCACTAACTCAGAACCTTTAGCTCAGGTACCTCCAAGAAGTCTTCCATTCCTGTCCTCAATGTGGATGATCCAGCACTTCTATGAATATCCAGAATTTTGTTTACTGTAGCGCTTGCCACGTCGTATCGCAACGGCCGGTTAACTTGTTTGCCCAGGAAACCGAACTGTCCAAGTGCAGAGACTCTGCCTTACTTAGCTTTGAACTCCCAGGGACTGGTCCTTTAGGAACTAAATACATAACATGCCCAATGAATGAGTAAATGCCAGACATTATTGCTGCCTTCAATGTCCAGACTGCTGAGGGTATTCATAAGTTTCAGGATTAGGAAACAGTTCCAGACTATTTCCCAACACAAATAAGCATTGCCCGTGGTGTATTTCCGTTCTCTCACATGGAGATTCCAAGGAAGGAAGAGATCAAAATGACATGGAATGACGAGTATGCTTTCTTCACAAAACATATTTTTACAGCTGGGTCCTGAATGAGGAGGGAGGTCCGAATAAGCCTCATAGGAGAAACAGATTCCTTGCCTTCCAGGCTCTGTTTAGGTGTGTGGTTTGTACAGTTAGCCTGTTCTGTCTGGAGCTCAGCCCCTCTCCTGGACCCAGCATTTAATGGCTGTGCTACCTATCTGGTAAGTAATGAGATTTCTTGTATTGTTAGGTTTCACTCTTTCGATAACGGTAGAGTGAGCATCTGTGATGTGCTGGGTGCTGGACATACAGCAATAGCTAAGGTAAACATAGCCCTTTCTTACCTTGTCGAACAAATCCATAAATAATTGCATTACCATGTGTGTTATTAGTGCCATGAAGAGAAAGTTCCCAGAGCTGTGTAATTATATAATGGAGGTTTAGCTTAACTTGAAGGGTCAGGAAGGACCTTGCTGAGGAAGAGACATTTGCACTTAACCCTGTAGATTCCGTAGGAAACAGACAAGGAGAAGAACGGGTTCTAAGGGGCCCAGGCAGTGGTAACAGCGTGGGTAGAAGGACACCAGGAGAGAAAGAATCAGGTGCCTTCCAGAAGCAGAAAGAAGGTCCATATGGCTGGATTGCAGCCAGGGAGCGAGAGAAAGGGGCAAGATTGTGCAGGGCCTTACAGGCCGTAGGTAAGATTTTAGACTCAGTTCTGAATCAGTGGGAGGGAAATGAAAGGGTTAAAGCATGGGAAAACCCATTCTCATATTTATTTTATCTCTATTGCTACCAGATAGTTTGAAGGGTAAACATGTTGGTTTTTATAGCCTCGAATTCCCTCTGAGCACCTGTCACTAAATTAGATACTCAGTAAATATTTAGCAATTTGGTTTCCAAATGGAGGGAGACAAGTATAAGGCGAGAGTGAGAGGGCACTTCAGGGGACTAATGAGGACCCTTGAGAGAACCCGGGGAGCAGTGGGAAACAAAGTAAGCAGGTGGTCAGCACCTTCAGTTAAAAGCTTTTTATTAGCCAGCTTCAGCGGCTGTAACAAAACACCATAGACTGGAGGGCGAGGGGCTAAAACAGCAGAAGCACATTTTCTCAGTTTTGGGGACTCGAAGCTGAAGATCAAGGTGCTAAAAAGATCGGGCTCTGTGAAGAGTCCTCTTTTGGGTTTGCTCATAGCCGCTTTCTTGCTGTGCCTTCACATGGCGCACGTGCCGTGCACACCCACACGTGCAGAAAACGTTCCAGTCCTATTAAATTAGGACCCTCCTCCCTTATGATCTAGCTTATGCTTAATTACCTCCCTGTAGGTTCCGTCTCCAAATACAGTGGCCTTAGGAGTTAGACCTTCAGCATACAATTTGCGAGGACACAATTAAAATATAATGGATCTCGTGATGTGAACCCACCATAGCAGTGGTTCTCAGCAGGGCTGGAAGTCAGTAGAACTAGGGGGCTTTCTCAAACTGGATATTTAAAGGCCCTATCTTGAAAGTCTCTGCTTTGTTTACTATTAGGCTACAGACTCAGGATCTACAATTTTTTTCAAAGTCTCTCTGGGGTGATGCTGATTGTATCAGGGAGCACTTGCTATATTTCTGTATTTGGGAAGTATTCCAATATCCGGGGTTTTTTTGTGTTTTGTTTTTTGTTTTTAATTTTTGTTGCGTATTGTTTTGTTTCTTTTCCTGATTAGAGTTGAGAGAAGTGAACGTTTTCTAGGCCTGCACAGGAAACACACCTGGCCTTTAGCTCCCTTACTCTCTGTATTAGTCGCCCCGCCGTGACTGGAGGGACTGCGAAGCCCCAGCCTTCCACAGAGTTGGCCGGACGCGTGCCTGGCGCATCTAACTTTCCCACGCGCGGATTGCAAGGCCTAGATTCGAAGGAGAGAAAAGAGGAAGCACAGTTATGAGCTCAGAAGTTTTAAGAGGATTGCATTCGGTTGCAAGTCACGGAAGACACAACTAAGCAGTGAGCGGCCCGAAGAATCTGGGGTTTCCTTCTCCTGGTAAGACTGAGGGTAGGACAGTGGCCCTGTGATGCCATTGGAGACTGAGCTCCTCCGCTCTTCACTTACTCATCCTGAGTTGCCTCGTGGCCCAAGATAACCGTGCTACTTCCGGCATCACGCTCGCATGCCAAAGGTCAAAGGCAACAGGGTGGTGCCCGTTGACACTACTCCCTTGTGAAGAGCTTTTCAAGAAGCCTCACCCAGCACCTGCCTCTTTTCAGCTCCTCCACCAGGGCTGTGCCACATGGCTGTCCGCAGCTGCAGAAGCTGGGACACAGGGTGGTTTAGCATGTCCGCATGGATGTCCGCACATGTGTATGTACGTATGTACGCTGCTGCCTCAAACACAACTAGGGTTCTCCTGGTAGGAAAGGAGGCTGCAATGGATGCTAAGTAGCTAGAAACCTCTGTCATGGGGACAAGGTGAATTCTTAGGTCTAACTCTACTTGGGAAGTCCGCTCTCCAGGGCAGAAGTGTGCGTGCAGAATGCTGAGAACAAACTGAGGACTGATGGGGGGGGGGGGAGAGGGGGGGGGGGGGGGGCACTTGTGGGGATGAGCACTGGGTGTTATGTGGAAACCAACTTGACAACAAACTATTAAAAAAAAAAAATATGTGTGCAGGCAGAGAGGGCCACTGGGCACTTGCCTGACCTTGAGATAAATCAAGGTTTTGAGTTTCTACCATGTGCGAGAAACCATTCTAGATGCTGGCAACACAGTGGTCAGCAAAGGAGACAAAACCCCCGCCACGGAGGAGTTTACACTCGAGCAGGGGGCACCGTATGCCCCGTGTAGCTCGTGAGGTGAAGGAAAGTAGGGTTGTGCCACCGTGCGGGTGGGACTGGTGGGCTCGTTGTCAGGTGGGGCTCGGGAAGACCACCGTTAGGCAGCGGGCACTCGGGTGACAGCAGGAAGCGAGGGACCGAGTCGTGCCAACACCCTGTAATGAGCGTCCAAGGCGGAGTAATCGGGAACAACAGATACAAGGGTCCTGGGTTCTTTCCGTGGTTCTGGTGTTTGCCGGTTTTATGGAGTCTAATTTTTTATCCTGATTTCTTCATATGGACATTGGTATGCGCCGTTCTGCTGCCTGGGAAAGGGCAACTCGGTAGGGGTACCGGTTGCTTTTCTCGCCGCTTTGGAAAAAACGAGATGCCTGAATGTACCTCTTGGGAAATTAAACGCCTCTTCTCACTTCTTTCCACCTCCTGAATCCTGTGTCCTTGGTTCCTTATTCTTTGCGAGACTAGACGCTGTTGTAATTATGAAAACGGACTTTGGAGTCTTGGTAGCTCCGAGCATGAGCCCTGACACTTCCTGTCTCTGATATTGGGCAAATAACTGATCCTCTCAGAGTCTGTTCGCTCATCTATGAAGTCAGGGTGAGAATGACTCCTTCATTATGTTGTGAGTATTAGATGAGATGAGGTGTGTAGAGGGTGCACCACAGCCTGGGTGCCTGTCAGGTATCTCTGACCTTTCCCCTTCCTTGCGATCTTCAACCCCCAAGTGCGTAGAATATCTGGGGTAGGTCAAGTGCTGTCCCTATGAATAAAAAGCTTATAGTTTACCAGCATGTGAGAGCCTATTGTTACATTTATATTCTTTTTTTAATTTAGTTTTTAGTGTTTATTTAGTTTTTGAGAGAGAGAGAGAGAGAATGAGCGAGAGAGCATGAGTGGGGGAGGATTAGAGAGAGAGACACAATCCAAAGCAGGCTTCAGGCTCTGAGCTGTCAGCACAGAGCCTGACACAAAGTTCGAGCTCACGAACCATGAGATAATGTCTTGAGCTGAAACCGAGAGTCAGATGGTTAATGGACTGAGCCCCCCAGGTGCCCCATCACATTCATATTCTTCAGTGAAGTCACATTTGCCAGCCTGTTCCTGCATCTCACCCTAAAGTCTTTTGAAAGGTTGAGATGACACACTTACAGGCCCCCTTGCCAACTTCTACCAGTGGCCACTCAAGTCCTTACGACACCTTCAGATCACTCACCACGCCCACAAGCCCTCAGGCCCGGTAACAGATGACTTATTTGGTATGAACATCTTCAATTTCTTATCCCTGAACCTACATAATTATCTATGTGTACAACTATCCTTTCCTCCTTTCTACACCATCGGAGGAAAAGTTGGTTACTTTTCTAGCCAAGAATTATCTAGCCTTCCTGTTTGTGAATTTTGTGCTTTCTGGTTTTTCTTGGGATCTGACCCATTCTCTCCTCTTTACTATATCTTTAAAATTTTTTTTTTTAATGTCTTATTTATTTCTAGGAGAGAGAGAGAGACAGCGTGAGCAGGGGAGGGCCAGACAGAGAGGGAGCCACAGACTCTGAAACAGGCTCCAGGCTCCGAGCTGGCAGCCAGCACAGAGCCCGACGCGGGGCTCGAACCACGAACCGCGAGATCATGACCCAAGCGAAAGTCGGACGCTCAACCGACTAAGCCACCCAGGCGCCCCTACTATATCTTTAATATCTCTCTTACCATGGCACTTTTAAAAATTGTGAAACAGGCTCAAATCTTTATTATCTTAAGAAAAAACATAACTCTTTCTAGCTTTTGTATATATCTTACCCAATCATCTAGGAAGGTGGTCTATGATTACATAACTAGTTTTTAAAGTGGGTTTATGTCAAAGATTTATTAAACTAATGAAGGACCCAGTAAAATGGTAAAGCCAGTTCAAGGAAAATTGAAAAGACTAGGTATATAAAGTCATTAAAAGGATGTTTGGATGAGATTGCTCAATTATACATAAAATAAACCATAACTTTTGGGTTATAATATTTTCATTTTCATCCTTCCAGAGACAAATTTCATTTTCACTCACATTAAACAAAAATAATGCCCATCTCTATCTGTTTTTTTTATGAGTTAACATTTACCATTACAGGGTTGAAAAATACCGTAAATAGTAAATACAGGTGCACAGTCCTAGAGGATCAGAATAACCCTGGACAGGCTCGTTCAACAACATTCAACACAGCATTGAAATGACAAGGCAGAAATCTCTCTGCCCACTTCTGGTTGTGGACACCACTTCTAACAGCCATCTTTGTGGTCATAAATAATCTCTGAGGATTATTCTTTTTTTTTTTTTTTAATATATTTTTATTTATTTCTAGGAGAGAGAGAGACAGTGTGAGCAGGGGAGGGTCAGAGAGAGAGGGAGACACAGACTCCGAAATAGGCTCCAGGCTCTGAGCTGACAGCACAGAGCCCGACGCGGGGCTCGAACCCACAAACCGCGAGATCATAACCTAAGCGAAAGTCGGACTCTTAACTGACTAAGCCACCCAGGCGCCCCTCTGAGGATTATTGGAGTATGGTCAACAAATCCAGTGCCGTGTGGTACTGAACACCTACTATGGCCAAAAAAAATTAACCTGTGTCTGATTCCATTCTCACATGGAATCTAGTATTATATTTTCAATAGGCTCTATTAGTCCAGAAAAATCTTTATTTGTCTTTTGTGCACTCATGGTCTATGGCTAGAGAACCAAAGCCGAGGAATGTATTTCTACTAGTTTTGCCTGCAGTACCTGTAAATGTGAATGAATTTCTCTCTTTCCTTGAAGGCCACCACTCCCCCCTCCCCAAATCTGCTAGGTACTGGTTTCTCAGGAAATGATTTTCTTTTCCATATAAAATTCCAGGACCTCAAAAACCACAGAATGGGTGCTAAAATGATCTCTGGGGAGGGCTTTGTTAGCCTTGATTCCACATATGTAGCACAACACTTGTTCCCCAATGAGTGGCTTATCATACCCGGTTAAATGAAATTTATTTTCATATGATGCTTTAAGTACAGCTTTGCTTACCCAATTAATTTCCTAACCATATCCTGCTTAAAAATAAAACACCAAAAAGCAACCAAAGGAACCTCTTACTGACGTCTTGGAAAACTATTGTGGTTTTAAAAGCAAAGAGACTTAGTAAAGTATTTGTCTCTGAATTTTGAGGTGTCAGCGAGAACAAAACATAATTTGAATAATGTTTTATTTCAGTTTGCAAAAGCCTAGTCTAAGACCCGGATCAGCAAACTTTTTCTATACAGGACCAGATAGTAAATGTTCTGTTTGTGAGCCGTGGATCCTGTTGCAAGATTTGTGCTCAGATCTGCCCATTGTAGCACAAGGAAACCATAGATGGTATGTAAACAATGGGCTTTCCGTTGACTATTTGACCTGTGGCGAGCTAGATTTGGCTCATGGATCAGTTTGCTAATGCCTACTTTAAAATATAAGTTAGCGAGGAGGGCCTGGGTGGCTCAATGAGTTAAGTGCACTCTGTGCTGACAGCTCAGAGCCTGAAGCCTGCTTCAGATTCTGTGTGTGTGTCTCTCTCTCTCTGCCTGTCCTCAGCTCATGCTCTCTCTCTCAAAAATAAATAAAACATTAAAAAAATTTTAAATAAAGATTAGGGATAGATCAAGAAGAAAGAGAAAGGGCTTTATCAGGTACCCATAATAAAATAGAACATTAAAAATAATACTAAGGTACAATAAGTAGGTAAATAATATCTGAAAACATCTATACTTATATTCACCTTATCAATTTTTTCAGTTCGTGTAATTAATACTTTCGGCACGAGATGTTGGGTCTGCAGTCTGCTTTTACAGAGTTGCTGCTTATGGATTGAAAGAGTCCTGGAAGTTGTGACTCAGTCCCCTACCTATTTGGTGGTTGGCTAAGTGGCATCAGTTTAGAAGTCTGCACCTATGAATCCACTACTTAAATTATCAATAGGTAAGAGGAATTAATCCTTTTCATTGAGGTTCTGAGGATGTGTGTCTTTGTTAAACACCTACTTTTAGGTGTTTAACACCTAAACCTGTGGCTTATAGCAAAATCTTCAGGAAAGCATGACAGGAAAGCCAGAAGTGGTGGCAGGATTGAGTAGTGGTGGCACTTTTTTTTTTTTTTAATAGGAGTCAGTGATATTGAAATGGAAGAGAGCAAAATCATCTGTAAGGGTGATGTTAAGGATAACTATTTTATGAGATTTGGGCGAGGACTTTGACAACTCTTCGGGACATTCCTAAAATATACACTCTCGAAGAAAATAAAAGAGCCTTGGGAAGGCTGAGCTTCTCCTTGCATGTGGCAGATCTTTCTATTTAGCTCTCAGGCATCTCTCACCTTTATTTTTTCCCCTGGACTCAACCCGTTGCCCTTTTCTCTTATCCATTGTGTGCTTTTTTTTCCTGAGAAATGTTCTCTCTCTCAAGCTGATATCAAGTGTCCCTATACTAACAAATTGATTTTTGTAAATCTTGCCCATTCTCATAGTCTGCCCCTGCACGTTTCCACCCATAGGTCTCAGAGTCATCAAAAAGGAGACTCAATCTGTTTAAATTATTGGAACTTCCATTCTGACCCTGGTGGAGTAACTAGTCTGCCATAAACAAAGTAGAACAGGTCAATATACAGGAGGAAGTTAGTTTCAGGCATTAAAAAACAAGTAATGTCAGACTGTTTCTTAAGAAAAGGGAAGTGCATCAAGCAAACCACAGAAGTCACCCAGCTC